CCTCGGAGCCGCCCGCGCAGCCAATCAGCTCCCGGCGGGGCGCGCCGCACCGCGCCGCACGCCCGTCACCGGCGCGGGGACCAATCGCCTCCCGCGCGCGAGGGCTCGCTCCGCCGGGACCGGACGCAGGTCAACACCCCTTAAAAACGCCACAGAAAATAAATAAATAAAAGGAGCGGGAGGAAAGAGGCGAGAGGAGGAGGCAGAAGAGCGGGTGGGTGCAGAGAAGGCTTGGGGCTGTAACGAACGTGCGTGGCCTGATGGCAAAGCGGGGATCCTCGGTAGCGCGTGCAAACTGCGGGATAATGAAGACTTTTTTTTTTTTCTTTACACTTTTTCCTAATTTCGGGCAGCAGCCCCTCAGACTAGCGGCTCCGTCCCCAGTTCTGTTCTCTGCTGTTACAGTGCAGAAGTCGTTTCCTGGCTCCCTGGTGCCCAGGAGGGCTGGAGGAGGGAGGTCCGCCTGCAAACCCCGGGGCTTCCTCCGGTCCAGGACGAGCTGTTTTGATGTATTCGACGTCCTGTCCTTTTCCTGGTGGAACCCGGGATGGCGGCCCTTGTCAACACGGGTGGCGGCAGGTGAATGTTGCTCCGTGTGGCGGGAAATATCGTTCGCAAAGGTGTTAGCTTCGGGGAAATTTTTTTTAAAGGTTTTAATGAACCGTACTCGAGTCCCAGTTCAGCCGGCCGACAGCACGTCTGCGTGTGCGTGCACATACACAGTCCCGTGTTTGTGGTGTGGAAAGCCAAAACATTAGAAACGCATGGGCACTTATCGGCGTGGCTGTGTAATCACCAAGTGCGTCGCTCAAGCTCACGTGCTGCGCCCAGACCCCCTTAAGGGTGGTATTACCAGACGCACAGCTCAGCTGTCTCATCCAGCCCCTAGGAACAGAAGTGTCCCTTCACCCCGCCACCTCCGAGGTCCCGGGAATTCGTGGAGTTTCACTCCCCTGAGACAGAAGAGGGCCGAGCTCCAGAGGGCTGGGAGACGGCAGGGCACGAAGCCCGCCGGCTCTGCACACTTTGTGTGCTAAACGTGGGTGGAGGGAGGCTGAGAAGACTCCAAACTGTACCTGACAGGCGCGCCCCAGGTGGCGAAGGGGCCGCAGGTCCCAGCGCTCAAGGCAACCCCGTAGGAGGCGCTGCCCGCTGGCCGGCTTGTTTATAAAGCTCTGGGAAGCTTGCTTTGGACTCTGCAGACCTAATTTTTTGATGGACAGAATCCAAGTAAAACGACTAGGGTTTGTAAAGAAGCAGGGCTATTTTCTTAAAGCAATCATGCAAGGATGGAGATTGTGATCCCCTGCGTGCACAGGAGGCATCTGCAGATGGACAAATTCTGTCGTTTTTAGGCCAGTGGAAGGTGCCCCAAAGCCAGAGCCGGCTGAATGAGAGGAGGGAGAGAGAGAGCGGGACTTTGGATGGCCAAGGGTTAAACCCAAAACAGTTGGTAAGGGTCGACCTGCAAGGCAGACGAAGACATTCCTCACAGAGAACAGACCACAGGAGACCGGCCACTGTGTCTCAATTTAAGGGGCTTTTAGAGAAAAATGCTGTTTGGGACAGGGTCCTTTCTCTCCTCAGACCAGCCCTTGGCCCCAAGCCAAATGTGTCTGTTTATTCACTGGGAAGATTGGTGGCTACAGATAACATCCTCTCACCTCTGAATCCAGGTTCAGCTGACTTGTTTGTGCTGTTCCCAAATGGTAGGAGGACTTGGGTCTTTCTACCATTAAAATTCTAGAAATGAACTCAAGCAACTGTAACTCCACCAGCTGGGAAAGTCCCAGGGCAGGAGTAAATTTCCCAAACCCACACATGGCGGAGGTGGGGGGAGGGTAGAAGCCTGTGTCTGCGGTTTGCACATTGACTCTGGTCACCCCATTTGCCCACTTCACCCCCTGTGGTCAAACTGCTTTACAGATGAGCCTCTTGGCCCACGCCAGGGACACAACTGTCTAGAGGTCAAGCCGAGTGTGTTGGTGTAAGGCCCCAGAATCCCAAATCCAGTCTGCTTGTGGCTTCTCCCAAGGCCCAGCTGCAAAAGAAGGGCTTCTGGTCTCCGTGCAGGGCTGCAGTTTGATCCACACTGGGGACTTTGTGGTGTCCCTGCCTGCTGCTGGGCAGTTCCCAAACTGGTAACAGCACCAGGCAGATCAGCCTGGAGACTTCGGATTTCAGAGGCACATGCAGTGCTTTTGTCCTTTTTCATACTGTCAAACGCATTTCAAAGTCCAGCTCCCCTTTCCCGGATGGCAAAAACACATGTGCATACATGTGCACTCATGTGCACAAGAGAAAGTTCTAGAACAAAGGCCGTTTAAAACATACTACTGGCATGACAGAGCTTCCAGAAAACATGGTTCCTGAGTCTGAGAACTGTGGGCCAGAAAACACATCCTCCTTCCTGAATGGTTAAAATAAATAGGGATAAACTACAACTTTAAACCCAAGTTCCTTGTTTTCAAAAACAGTTGTGATTTCCCCACACTGCCAGGGGGTTGTCCATGAGAACTGCAGGGAAATTCCCTGTTGCTTCATCACACCAGCTTGAAGAGGCATTTTGAGTTTCCAGTTGCCCAAAGCTGACGGTCAGACCACCACGAGGTCACTGAGGGTCCCACAGGTGCCTCCCAAGTGGCATTGTACCTCCCCAGAGCTCCTTCCTGCTCTCTCCTAGGAAACTGGGAAGGGGGAGCCTGCTCAGCCCTGGATCCTACTCTGTTCCCTTATCACAGCATTGTGATTTTTGTGATGCTCTCTGCAGATACGCCCAGCGTGCTGTCCCTCAGCAGGCAGCACTGCCGCGGGGGTTCCTATCAAGGCTGGGTGGCCATGGGTCAGGTGTGATGCAGAGAAAAGCATTCCAGCCCACAGTCAGGAGACCTGGGCCTCGGCTCCTGCTCTGCTGCTAACACGCTTCATGTCTCCAGCCCCAGCACAGTCATCTGTAAGCAGAGCTGCCAGCGCCCGTCCTGCTCCCTTGTATAATAAAGCACTTGGGTTTTCCAGCATCCAATGGTCACTATGCTTTCAGTCAAATCGGAAAGATTTAAAGTGGCATTCCCTGCAAGACGTGGTAAACCGCAGTCATGCCCTTACTTGGACAACTTCTTTTCTTTTCTGCTTCTATGGATGTACAATCCTGGGAATGGACTTTGAGAATATCCGTAAAGAATCTTAAAAATTTGGAGTAAAGGCAATCCCGGCCTTACCTCTTCCCAAGGCAAGCATCTTGCTTTATGTTCTTGACAGTGGATAGGTGGGCATCCCTGTAATGTCTTTGGGTCACAGTGGCCAAGTTCAGGGCAATCTACTAGAATGTTCTTCCTTCTGTGAAGGGAAATTCTGCTCATGTCACTTCTGCCATCTCAGCACCAATTCCTACCCTAATCAGCCAGAAACAGCCTTGGGAAAACACCCTCAGCTACCACCGATCAGGGAGGCCACGGTCCATTCTCTGCTCCTCTAGTCAGGATAGGCCCGCCTGCCCACTCTCCCCATGAGGCTTGACAATTTCTCATTTGTTACTATATTAATTTATATATAAAGTGTCAATTTATATACCACTTTCTAGAAAGGAGGGAGCTAAAAAGGCATAATTTTTAGATGTTTTTAAAAATAGAAACAAAAATATCTAATTGACTATTTCTCTAATTAAAACGTTTATGGATAGGCCAGGCTCAGTGGCTCATGCCTATAATCCCAGCACTTTGAGAGGCCAATGCTGGAAGATGACTTGGAGCCAGAAACTCCAAACCAGCCAGGGCGACATAGCAAGTCCCCATCTCTTTAAAAAAAATTAGCTGGGTGTGGTGGTGTGCACCTGTGGTCCCAGCTGTTCGGGAGGCTGAGGCAGGAGGATCTCTTGAACCCAGGAGTTTGAGGTTACAGTCCTGGGCAACAGAACAAGACCCTATCATTAAAAAAAAAAAAAAAAAAACCAAACCACTTTGAGTGTCCACAAGAAAATGCCTAAAACCCAGTAAGATATCAAGATGTTGGCCTGCTAATTCTCCATGGCTTCATCCTTTAGCTTCCCTCTTGCCAACTCAGCCTCCAATCTTGGGAAGGACTTAGATTTTCCAGCCCAGCAGCGTCCTGCTAAGTTCCCACCTCTCTGCACGTGCTGTTTCTCTGTCTACAATACCCATCATCACTTTCCTACAAACTCCTACTCACAGGATTCCCAGATTAGCAAATAAAAAATATAGGACATTCAGGACAATTCAAATTTCAGATAAACAAGGAATCTTTCTAGGCTGGGCACAGTGGCTCATGCCTGTAATCCTAATACTCTGAAAGGCCGAGGCGGGTGGATCACTTAAGGTCAGGAGTTCGAGACTAGCCTGAGCAAGAGTGAGACCCCCATCTCTCCTAAAAAATAGAAAAAACTAGCCAGCTACTCAGGAGGCCAAGGCAAGATGGTTGCTTGAACCTAGGAGTTTGAGGTTGCTATGAGCTACGATGACACCACGGCACTCTACCCAGGGGACAGACTGAGACCTCATCTCGAAAAAAGAAAGAGAAAGAAATCTTTGCAGTATAAATATGTCCAAAATACTGCATACACTTGGATTGTAAATTACTCATTGTTGATCTGAAATTCAGATTTTATTTGGTGTTACTCATTTTACCTGGCAAACCCACTTACCATCCCTCCTCTGAACAGCCATGCCTAATGTCATCCCCACCCATGACTTTTCCTCCACCTCCCTGGTCAGGTAAATTGTTCCCTTCTCTCTGGGTACATTCTGTGTGACTGTGAGCTCTCAAGAGAAAGAGCTGGGACCCTGCGTTTGCATCTGCCCTCCC